CGATTAGTGATAAATTATGATTAGTGATTGATTAGTGATTAATTAGTGATTGATTAGTGATTAATTAGTGATGAATTAGCGATGAATTAGTGATAAATTCGAAAGTGAATGAAAAATTCGAGTTACGAATAATAATTTTATAGGTTAAGAATAAGAGAATATATCGGACAGATGATTCGATTCGATATTGACAGTGACCTAGCTCTCGTAGGGATTGGAGGACTAGTGAAAAGTTTAGCGTGCACATATCAGAGTCGATATATAGTGAAATGGCGAAGAAAACGTCGGAAACGTAATTTATACGTGCGATCGATCAAACTCTTTGGATTCTGGAGTAAGGGCGTCTGTCGCTCCATCGAGGCGATTCGATGAGCTAACGCTAACTTAACGCTACACACCCCACTGGGCTGCACTCGGTCAGATAACTCTCGGATTTTCAAGCGCGCCCGGCAACTTCGCTTCGTGCAACTACGACGACGACGATATCCATTGAATATCTTCGCGCTCTTTTTGATCCTTCCTCCTTCCCCTTCCTTTTCTCTCTCTTTTCACTCACTCGTTCATCTCGCAAATGTTTACTCACTTGTGGATTCTTCGGTTAGCTACTTCTTTGGTCCAACGCCTTTTCCTCTCTCTCTCTATATATATATATATAGAGAGAGAGAGATTCAATGAACTTTCCTGGGGAGATTATACTCATCGTTCTGCCTCGAGTAGTGTCTGTATGTATATACTCGACCCACTATTAAGTTTAAGAGGGAAAGTGCCAACTTTTCTGGTACTGACGATTATCGTCAATAATTAAACTCTTCTTTATAAATTTTACAGTTTGAAATTTGTCTTCCTTTTTGGTTTCGTTTTGATTCGTTTTCCTTCCTGAAGGTCTGAATTTAACATACTTTTCAAATTTGGTTCTTTTCATTATCATTACCACAACAATTTTTTTATTTTGTTTTTACAAAATTTCTATTTATATATAAAATTTACTTTTTCCCTGATCACTAGAAGGAAATTATAGAGGAATTTATAGAAAGAGATAATTTTTAGAAGTAAAAATTCGATCTAAAACTTTGAGGGTGGCCTACCTTAATATAATTTAAAACCCAAAATTAGTAACCTCACCGCCGATTACTTTCGACAATTCTTCAAAAAAAAAAAAAAAAAATTCAATTTGTTTTTAATAAAATTATAGGAAATTTCAATTATTTTTCATAGAATTATAGAAAATTTCAATTATTCTTAATAAAATTACAGGAAATTTCAATTATATTTAATATAATTAGAGGAAAGTTCAAATATTTTTCACAAATTTTACAAAAATTTCAATTATTTTTCATAAAGTTATAGAACATTTCCATTATTTTTATTAGGAAATTTTAATTATTCTTAATAACATTATAGGGAATTTCAATTATCAATTATTTTTAATAAAATCATAGGAAATTTCAATTCTTTCTCATGAAGTTATATAGAAAATTTCAATTATTTTTAATAAAATTACAGGCAATTTCAATTATTTTTCATAATAAGTTATATAACAAATTACCGCCGATTTCATTTCGACAATTCTTTAAAAAAATTCAATTTGTTTTTAATAAAATTATAAGAAATTTCATTTATTCTTAATCAAATAATAGGAAATTACAATTGTTTTTAATAAAATTCTAGGAAATTTCAATTATTCTTTATAAACTTATATAGAAAATTTTAATTATTTTTCATAAAGTTATAGAAAATTTTATTCATTTTAAGTAAAATTAGAGAAAATTTGAAATTATTTTAAAAATACACAATTTATAATTATATTTACGAAAATTTTCTAAACTTTAAAAATGCAATTATTGAAATATTTACAAAATTATTTTGAGTTTCTTTTAAATTCGTTTAAAATTCAATTATTATTTAATAATTGTATATTACATTTTTTTTATTTCTTACAATCTTTAAAAATTTTAATTTTAATTCTTTAAAAATTCAATTATTTTCCGAATGTTTGACTTAAAAAATTCTTTGAAAATTCAATTATTTTTCTTAATTTTCCAAAAATATTGCAAAAGTATTCAAATTTATTTTAAGAAATTTGGATTAAAATTCCACGAAAATTCAATTATTTACAACTTATTTTTCACAGAAAATTTCAAAAGTATTCAATTTTTTTTAAAATGTCCAATTAATATTTAATTATGAAAATTTAATAAACTTAAAAATAAAATTAAAGTATTTTTAAAATTATTGTAATCCTTTTTTTAAATTCGATTAAAATTCAATTATTTTCCATAATTTTAATACAATTTAAAAAAAAAATTTATTTTCTTTACAATTTTAAATTGAAACAGAAAAATTCAATTATTTTCATTAATTTTCCTAAAATATTGTAAAGAAATTCAATTATTTTAAGAATTTTGAATTAAAATTCTTCGGAAATTCAATTATTTTCAAAAAATTTTGTTATAATTAGAAAAAAATCAATTAGTCCACGAATTCTGACGTAAAACTTTGAGGACAATTCAATTATTGTCTGTAATTTTAGAATTATTATTATTTAAAACTTCATTTTCGTATTAAATTTGCAATATATTATTTAATTATTTAAAAAAATTTTAATTTAAATTCATAGAAAATTCAATTATATTCAATAATTGTAATACAATTTTTTTAATTTTATATTTTCTTTAGAATTTTAAATTAATATTTTTTAAAAATTCAATTATTTTCAGAATTTTGAACTGAAATGTTTTGAAAAGTCAATTAGATTCCTTAATTTTTGTTCAATATTGAAAAGTATTCAATTATTTTCAGATGGTTTAACTAAAATTCTTTGAAAATTCAATTATTTTTCTTAATTTTCGTATAATATTGCAAAAGTATTTAATTATTTTAATAATTTTAATATAATTTATGAAAAAAAATACATTTTCGAATTTTTTTACCTTAAATTTTTATACAATTTAATAATTTTCTGTAATTTTTGAATTATTATTTAAAACTTAATTTTCGTATATAATATTTCAAAGTTATTCAATTATTTATGGAATATTTAATAAAAATTTATTTATAACATTTAATTATGTTCAATTTGAAAAAGAGTTAAAATTTAATTAATTTAATGAAATTCTAATTAGTTAAATTTAACTATTTAAAATAAATTTAATAAATTAATAATTTAATTAATTTAATTAATAGAAATAAGAAATAAAATTAAGTTGTTCTTTAAAATTCATTGTGATTCAAAAGTTTTTATGAAAAAAAAATAATTCAAAAAGAATTCCCGGTTTCTGTTTTCCAAAAAAATTTTTTAATACTAAAAACCGCAGAATTTTCCTACTAGATATTTCTATAAAATTTATTATTTTTTTTATCACTTTTGATAAAATTCCCAGAATTTTCCGATTTCCCTGACTCGTGGCAACTCTACTGTTATAGACAATTTTTTATCTTTTGCTCTGCAATTTTTTCGATTAAAAAAAGAAAAAAAAAATTTTTTTTTGTCACCATGGCATTAAGAGTCTTTGGCAAGAGGTGCGGGAAGACGGAGAATCTTGAAATACGTATATATAAGAGAATGGAAATCAATACGTGAAGTGAGCAGCTAGTTTGAGAAAAGCCTCTGGACGGTCCCCGGTTTTAGAAAGCCCTGAGACGTCGACTATTCACCCTTAGAATATTTCTCTCTTGTAACCGAGAGAGTAAGAGAGAGGGAGAAGGAGAGAAGAAGACAGTTTGATAGAGAGGGTGAGAAAAGAAGGGAGGAGTTCCATTCAGGACTAATGGGGTTAAACGCCTTAGCCCTTAGTACCTCTCCTTCCTGATCTTCCTTCCTTCCTTCACTCTCATCGGACATTTTCGTCAGAATTCAGTTTCTATAACCCCCCCGAAAGGATAATCCATATTCGTTGATAATGTCAGGCTTTTATTGCCAGTTAAACGTTCAAACTTAAAACCGCTCAAATGTGAGTGGAATTATTTTCACTTCTGCTTTCGCAAAAGACTCTAAATTTCAATCATTTTTCTAATTTTCCTTATTGATTTGAATTTTGCTCTTGAATCCGCAGTTGAAAAAAAAACAAAAATAAGAAGAAAATTTTTACTCTGATCGATTCTGTAACTTCATTTCACTTTCACTTCACTGCTACTTCAATTTCACTTCACTTTCACTTCACTTTCACTTCACTTTCACTTCACTTTCACTTCACTTTCACTTCACTTTCACTTCACTTTCACTTCACTTTCACTCCACTTTCACTCCACTTTCACTTTACTGTTACTTCATTTTTACTTTACTTTCACTTCACTCTCACTTTTAGTTCATTTTCACTTAACTTTCACTTTACTTTCAATTCACTCTCACTTTACTTTTCACTTCACTCTCACTTTCAGTTTATTTTTACTTCACGCTCGCTACACTTTCACTGTCACTTTATTTTTGTTGAATTTAACATTTTTTACATTTCAAATTTCCTAAAGATTTTGAAGATAAGTTAAATTCAACAAAAATAAACTGATAGTGAAAGTGAAGTGAAAGTAAAGTAAGAATTAGGTGAAAATAAACTGAAAGTGAGAGTAAATTGAAAGTAAAGTGAAACTGAAGTGAAAGTGAAGTAAGAATGAAGTGAAAATAAACTAAAAGTGAAAATGAATTGAAAGTACAGTGAAAGTGAAGGGAAAAGTAAAGTGAAGTAAAAATGAAGTGAAAAAAAACTGAAAGTGAGAGTGAATTGAAAGTAAAGTGAAAGTGAAGTGAAAATAAAGTGAGAGTGAAGTGAAAGTGAAGTGAAGTGAAAGTGAAGTGAAGTTACAGAATCGACCCCTGATTTAAAATTTTGAACTGCGCTTTTTTCAATAGAAATTTTTTTTTGTGCTCCTCTCTTTGAATTACATGCGAAAACGGATCACGGAATTAATCTAAAGTTTGTTAACCAATATTATATTATAAATAGAACTAAATTAAATTGTAGGTTATCCCTAGAGGATAGAAAAAGAAAATAATTTGAAAAACTCACCCTTGTGCGCCATATCGTCTGCGGTGACGGAGGCTAAAAGGCCGGTGGCGCCCGGCCATGGAGCGACCGCAGCGCCCAGTTGCTGCGACGGCAGAATCTTCGGGCCTTTCCACACTTTTGTCTCTGAAACCCAAGAAAAAGAAGTTTTTTTTTTATAAAAACTAAATCAAAAGTCACTTTATTTTATAAAAAATAGTAAAAATACCATTTTATTAAAACATGTTTTAATAAAATGGAATACCATTTTATTAAAACATGTTTTAATAAAATGGAATTCCATTCTATTAAAATATATTTTAATTAAATGGAACTTAAAAGTAAAAAAAAAGACGCAAATTTTAAAAGTAGTCGAAAAAATAGTAAAAACTGCGATTATATATATCAGGTCTCGGATAATGATCCGAGGCCTGATATATAATCACAGTTTTTCTAAGACAAATAAATTGAGACAAAAAACGTATCAAAATATAGTTGCTTTGTTTACATTTGGCGCGAAATTCGAATTGCATAATGCCACTATATGTTTCCCCTTAATTTCCGTATATATAGGTAATTATACGCTCTTTTCTAACCGCGTGGTTCGAAAAAAGAAACGTGGCTGCGGCACTTCAAAACGGAATGACTCAAAAACAATCGTCTCCCCCTTTTTGCAGTGAGAAGAAAAACAGGCTGGATCAGGTCGTCGTCGTCGTCGTCGTCGTCGACGGTTGCAGTACTAACGCGCGAACGACATTCAAGATTGTTAAGTGTCGCAATTACCCGACTTTGCTCTTGGTGAAGATGTAAACTTCTCGCAAATGTAACACCCTTCAAAATCCCTCAAAGCTCGACTGTATATATATATATATAGCAATCGTATATACAATATATAGATATATACATATATATACACATATAAATATAAATATAACTATATAGATATACATGTACAGATATATAAGCGAAAGGGATGTTGAGCATTCACAACTCTCGGGACATGGAAGCAAAACTAAGTGCGATAATTAGCGCGCACAGAGAAGAGGACTTAAAATCATATATACAGACATTATTTTGCCTGATGTGACTATAAACATGCCTCCTCTAGGTATTTTTCTTCAATTTAGAAAGAAAGACTACAAACACTGAAAAATAGATGTCTTATTCAATTTTCTTGAAACTATATCAAATTGATACTATTAAAATATATATATTATAATTTTATAGGGTAAGGTACGTGCCCCAAGGTGTCCACCCATCTTTTGAACGACTGTAATTCCTAAACGGTATTATTAAAAAATTTTTTTTTTATTTTACTACGAAAAATAAAACTTAGACGCGAAAAACAGCTCAAGTTTATTGCTTTGAAAAAAGTGGCCCCAAGGTGGCAACCATTCAAAAATTCACTGAAAAATTAAAAAAATAGTTGCAAAAATCAATTAGAGTATGGGCCTTGGGACTCACTATAAAAATTTAGATCAATTTGATATACTTTCAAGAAAACTTTGTTGATATATATCTTACATTAAGACGTATAAAGATAGAAAAATGGTATAGCTTACATCTTAAAATGAGATGTTTTCTAAAGTATCTTAATATTGATATACCTAAGATCACTGCAAAAAGAAGTATCTTAATTTAAGATTTTACTATAAAAGTACAGTAAAAGTTATATACTTAATATTTTTTTTCTTCGTCTACAGCGTTACTGAACACATCTTATAATATTAAGATGTTTCTAGACTATCTTAATATAAGTTTTTTCTGGCTTAAATATCTTAAAAGTGACTACAGAGTTACTTAAAACATATATTATTAAGATGCTTCTGGACTAATTATGTTAATATAAGATGTTTATGGCCTAAATACTTAAAACATCTTATATTAAGATGCTTCTGGACTAATTATCTTAATATAAGATGTTTATGGCCTAAATACTTAAAACATCTTATATTAAGATGCTTCTGGACTAATTATCTTAATATAAGATGTTTCTGGACTAAATACTTAAAACATCTTATATTAAGATGCTTCTGGACTAATTATCTTAATATAAGATGTTTCTGGACTAAATACCTTAAAAGTGACATACAGTTACTTAAAAAATCTTATATTAAGATGCTTCTGACCTAAATTCTTATAAGATGTTTCTGGTCCAAACATCTTAAAAGTGACTACAGAGTTACTTAAAAGTTATATTAAGATGTTTCTGGGCTAAATATCTTAATATAAGATGTTTCTGACCTAACTATCCGAATATAAGATGTTTCTGACCTAAATATCTTAATATAAGAATAGTTTCTGGCCTAAATATCTTAACACAAAATTATGTTTTATAAGTAACTTTCACTGAAAAAAAAATATTCTTAATTTAAGAATATAAGCTGTAAAAAAGGTGCCCAGGATATTCCCCACTTAAATTAAGTGGAAATATTCTTACAATGAGAATATATTCTTATAGTAAGAATAATTCCCCACTTAATTCAAGTGGGGAATATCCTGGGCACCTTTCTTTTAGTATATATATTCTTAAATTAAGATTATTTTTTTTCAGTGTTGTAGTCAATTTTAAGCTACTTAATTTTTGCAGTTCAATCAGTGCAAATAACTAAAAAGTGCCCAAACCAAAACATCTTAGAAACTGACTAAAAGCATCTTAAATTAAGACACTTTTCTTTCTTTTGCCATCAAAATACAAAATTTTGATCTGTTTTTCATTTTTATGATACGATTTTAAAATGTGAGTAGTGTTTCGATCATTTTCTTCAAGTTTGTTATTCGCCATGGGGATATATTAAAGGAAGAGAAATGGCATTATAGAAAACGGCATAAAAAGAGAAAAAAAAGAGAGCGAGAGAGAGAGAGATGGAAAGTTGTTGGGGGTTAGGGAGTACATCGCATTCGCATATTGTGCAAGAGGATTACCTCGGATTATGCCCGACTGAGCGCAAACAGGATCTCACCGGCTTGTGTTTACAAGATGCCAAGCTGTCGATTTAACGCGCGCGCAAACTCTCTCTCTCTCTCTCTCTCTCTCATATATTGCTATCCGTGTAGAGTCGAATCAAATCGAATCGCGGTTCGATTAACTCCTATATTATAAATTATTACTTTGTCTCCACAGGCACTTTATATAACTAAACAAGGATTAAAAACAAAAAATTAATTCCTACGCGTAATCTACGCATCATATATATACCTAACGCGTAATCTACGCATCATCATAGTCCGTATATTTTTAATCAAAAATAAGAAAAAATAGTCACGATTCAATTTCACATCTTTGGAAAAATTTTGCGATTTTTTAAGATTCACTGCGGCTCTAAAATACGCTTAAAGAATGTAAACATAAAAATAATGTAAACAAGTCCGTTTTCAGAAGCAACAACAAAACATTTTCGAAAATACTTTACAAAAGCCCATATCAGACTTTGAAAATAACACATAGTTTGCAGAAATAAAGGTCTCAAAAAGAATCAGAGACTTTGGAAAAAGAAAATGTTACTCACGGACATTGTCAACAAGCGTCTCGGGTGTATATATATACATAATTTTTTCTTTTTTATTCTTTTTGCCACAAGAGTCTCGCGTTTAAGTGAATTCGCAGCGTCACGTCAGCGTCGACGAGTGAAAATTATGGAAATCGACAGGGTCGTTTGACTTTCGACTTCAAAAGCTTCCGAGGCATTCAAGCGATTAGGAGAGTTTCCGGAAGAATCGAGTATAAGGGGTTTATGTTCCACCGCGGGAGCATTTGTGGAATGAATTATATAGGTATATATATAGTATATTATAAAACGCAATTATAGCACACGAAAATATAAGACAAAAAATACATATATTTATATATGTATATAGACAAATTTCGATATTATTCTTATCTTCATATATCATTAATAATATAATTTTTTATCAATAATAAATCAAAGACGTGTATGGTAATTTGACACGCATCTACTTTCGAAAAATTATATTAATTCTCCGCGACCGACAGTAATCACAGCTTTGTCAATATATACTCAAAATGATAAAAGAAAAATCCAAGGCATATTTATTTTAGATTATAATTATTACAAATTATAATTTTTATATCATTTTTTATAATGTAATTTTTTTTACATCATTTTTGGGTTATACAGTGTAATTTTTTACATCATTGCGTTATAATTTTTACAGAGTATAATATTTGTATTATATTTACTTTTATAATTTTAACAATGTAATTTTACTAAAATTTTCCTAAAATTTTCCTATTTTTAGAATGTAAATTCTATATGATTTTTACAATGCAATTTTTAAATGTTTGTATAATTTCTGCAATGCAATTTTTATATATATTCGTATAATTTTTGCAATGCATTTTTTATACAATTTGTTGCAATGTAATTTTTATCTAATTTTTACATATTCTGATTTTTACCAACATAGTTGGTTCAATTCTAAAAATTTAGAAAATCCAATTTTCTAAATTTCAATTTAAAATTCTTCAAAAATAAAAAAAAAAAATTCTTAAAAATGTAAAATTAATTATTTTAGTAAAATTTGACAAAATTTCTAAATATAATTGGAAATATAATTTAATCTTTTCAAATTATTTACGGAAATTCAACTTTCAAAACATAATTATCCAATTTTTCAAAAATATGAATTTTTTTTTATAATTTCTCAATGAAATTACATTCAAAACTTGAATAATATTTGTTAAACAAATATTTAAATAATTATTTATTTTTCAACTGGAATTAAAATATTTTAAATCGATTACTCTGTGTAAAAATCGTTTTGAAATTTTACAATTTCTAAAAATTACAACTGTAATTCTTCCAAAATTCAATCAAATTTTTACTATTGCATTCTTCGGAAAATTCATTTACTATATAGAAAATAATTGAAATTCTACGATACGTTTTATTATTTATAAAAATTTGTTTAAATAATTGATTTTGTTGGAAAACTATTTAAAAAATTGTATTTTTTGAATGCTTATGAAGAATTTTTTTAATTACGAAGATAATTGAATTCTTACTATTATTTTGAAAATAGTTCAATTCTCATATAAAATATTATTACATATTGAAAATAATTTAATTCTTTATAAAAATTTTATTATATTTCTATGAATTGAATTAAAATTTTATTGAAAGTAA